ACAGTGCACTGGGAAAGTTGCACATTGCCTTAGATTATGTGGCTCAAAGTTTAGGATATTGCTAAAACATTTGCTCCCTATTTTTCCACTTAAAAAAAGAAAAAGTCTACACATGGGTAGTGTGTTTACTAATAAGGTAACTCCTACAGGTAGCTAGTTTGGATCCACTCATGACCACCAGATTTGAGGCTCCTGATATAAAATGCATAATGCCAATCAAAGAGTTAATATTCCTACAAATCACATTAGAGTTCATGACTGTAATCTGAGAGACTGGGCTTTGGTGCCATAGGTGTAGGTACTGGTTTCATTTTCCACCTTTTGAAGGGTAGCTCCACAGTTCACCTTTCTATTTATAGGATAGTCTTAATATAAAGTGTCCTCTGCAGCTGTGAGGGTCATCCGTTCAGTAAAGAAGCTCTCCTGTTAGAAATTCTCCACTGGTCTCTGTGCTCCTTCTGACCTTGTTCTGACTCAGGCATCGTACATCCAGACTGTCAGCAGGATTTTACCACCTCGCCTGTTGGACTGCGTCTGTCCCTGATTCTGTGGGGTGGGGGGGGTCACAATGCCTCTGTTCTCGCTCACTTTCATATTTCATAGAGATAATCCACTCAGTCTGCTTGCCTGGGTTTCAGATTAATATCAGGAGGGTTTGGGGGGGAAAAAAACTGGAGAATCTGCAAACTGACTGACTGTCAGAGCTGATCCATGCAGCAGCTAGTGCCACCTGCTGGAGCAGTAGAAAAGTGCAGACTTTTAATGATTCTTCACACCAGTAGCTTTGGATTCCTCTATTTTCCGCATTCAATTTGTCTGACCTATATAAATATCTATTTTGGTCGAGTCCTCATAGAACCCCTACTTGTTTTGTTTGGTGTTTAGACAGTAATTTATTCGGCGTCTAGTTTGTTACCAAAACAGACTTGCTGCACAGGTAAATCACCTTCATTAGAGTCCACATAAAACCAGCAGAACCTGGACCCAGCAGAGAGGGGCTGCGGGGTCTGTGACCGTCCTCCAACAGGCAGTAGGCTGGGACTGAAACTAAGCTGAGGATTTTCTTGATCTCTGAGAGGTTTAACTTTGATGGAGGAAGGTTTTTTTTCTATAGTTAAGAGCATTAGAAATTAAACATGCTGCCGTCTTTGGACTGCTGGGTTCTGTTTTTATTTATCTGTTTGTATTTAAACAACCAAAGCACAGAAGCAAATAGTTAATATATGAGTCTGTCATTTTATCTGATAATAGTTTCACATGTATTGATTTGATTGATAAAGACGCCAGGAAGAAAAGGAGGAGTTCAAACAAGAAGAAAATTACTTGGAACCGTAAAAATTGTTGTAACAATAAATCTAGGGCCGCAACTAACGATTATTTTGCAAGTTAATTAATCAATTAATAATCCTTAAAGAATATATTTATTTACAAAATTTAACCAGGTGGGCGTGCAGATGACGCAGCGGTTAGCGCGCACGGCCCATGTACGGAGGCCTTAGTCCTCGACGCGGCTGACCTAGGTCCAAATCCGACCTGTGGTCCTTTGCTGCATGTCTCTCCCCCTTTCCTGTCAGCCTACTGTCAAAAAAACAAGCCACTAGTGCCCCAAAAAACTAAAAAATAAATAAATTAATTAATTGAAGCAGGTGAAACTCAAACTTTTCCACTTGAGGAGTTCTGGATAGAGCATATTGACAGACAAAAATGTTTTTTTTAATATTAAGTATTGTGTTTATATATTTTTTTTCAATTTTGATATAATTACTGCTCTAATTGGGTTGCTCTGTCAGTCATGTTTTACAGTCTCTATACTCCAGATAATGATTAATCGATTACTAAATTAGTTGGCGATTATTTCATTAATTAATCCCAATTAATCTGATAAATTGTTTCAGCTCTAAATAAATGCATGCAATGTTTAAATGCATGGAAACAGATGCTGCCGCCCAGCTGTCCTTACTGTTTGCTTAGCGCATTCTCGTTAGCAGTCTAAAATGCTTTTAATGTTATTTATTCAAGTTCTTTCACTGTATTTTGTTTCCTGGCGGTTTCACAATCCATAAAGAATTTGAAGCAGTCATAATTAATGGGGTTGGAGCTGTTGGAAGGTTCCTTCATATGCTGCTGCCTTTGCAGAGATTTTTTTTTGTCTGTATTGGAATTTTATCCATCCCCTTCTTTTTTTTCCTCCAATATATTTTATTGAAGTTTCTCTTTTTTTGATACAACAAAACTTACAGACAACGAACTTAAATTGCAACATGTACTTATACACACTTACATTCAACTCATGCATTCACCATTTAAACCTGCATTTGTCTCGTTCCAAAAATATACAAAGCCCTTTAGATTAAGGTGGAGAATAAAAAAAGGGGGCAATATAGGAATATAAACGTCAAGACATCCTTTCAAAACTCCCATCAATAAGCTCCACATCCATCCCATTCTTACTCTGATACCTCAAATATGAATCCAATGCAAGCAGCTTCTTTAGGAAGTGAGCTGTTTAAATGTGTTAAAGTTCCTGATGATTAAATGTGAAAATATTTTTTTTGTTTTTTAGCCAAAAAGAAGCAATTTCAGATGATGAGGAAGATGCATTATAACGAGGGTATGAACATAAAACTGGCTCGCCAGCTCATTGCCAATGAGTTAGAAGAAGAGGAAGAGGAGGATGAGGATGAAGAGATGAGGGATGACACAGAGGACCTAAGGGAGGAGACGGAGGAGATCAGCGTAGACCCGCCACAGGAAGGTAAGAGGGGGACACAAGGGAGCACGTTTCAAATCATCAGACCTAATGGTTTGGCTCATCATCATTAGCGTAGATCTCATCACGGTCTGTTTATTCCTCCTCATGGATCGTACTGTGACACAGTGGAGCATTAGAGCAGTAACTCATTATCGGCAGGACTATAGTGAGGCGTGATCAGCGAAGATGTAGAAATGTTTGAATCCCTGGCTGTTTTTCAATTCACTAGAACGTCAGTACGGACTGGTGTCCTCGACAAGTCTGTTCTTGAGATGAACACAGGGAAGTCTGGACTTGGTGAGGCAGGAGCACACAGCATAAATATGGGTCAATTGGAAGAGAAGCTTACTCGTGACGTCACCACATGTCAGCTCGTCTAGAGCTGTATTTCACCTCCTGTCTCTAGATAATAATAAATTATTTGTTTTTTAATTTGATGGGGGAATAATAATTAACACAGTCAGATAAACACAAATCAAATGAACATTTTGCCCAATAAAACAAAAAAAATCGCCATCAGAGCCAGCAGTACTTCACACACGGTTATGCCGAAAGAGGGCTGCTGCAGACGGTCTGCCGTTAGCATCGGAGCTCCACTGGTTGCAGCGGTCCTCTCAACTTCGGAAATAGTTTTTTAATTACGCATTAAATAAATGGTAAATGGACCATATAGTGACTCTTTAAAGTATAATATTCTCGCCTCAAATGATCTTAAAACCTACTTTTATTGAACAACAGCAACAGAAAAGAGAACTTTTAACTTTCAATGGAGCGCTCCATGGAAAGCTGCTGCTGTAGCAGTGCATGCTGGGACAGCTGTCTGCTCTGATGCATGCTGGGTGTCACTACCCGATCCATCCCGGAAGCACAATCCATTCTGCTCATGCGCCATCAGCTCATTTGCACATCCAGATATACATCCGAGTAGTCCTCCATTTTATTTTGTCAAAAAGCCCTAAATGACGTTTTCCCTCCCCAAAAATAGTAAATGTACAAAAATATAATGTGTTAAAGGTTAATAATGTATTTCCTGATAAAATAAATGCCTTAAAATCCTTTCTGTTTTATCAGTCATCTCTGCCCGATCTACTAACTAACTTTTTCAGCCTTGGATTTAAATGTAAATCTAGTCTTTTTTTTAGTTTTAGTTTTCGTTTCACTTTAATCTATGCTATATAGTGCTTAATCTAAAGAAAGAAACAATTAAAATGCAGATAAACATGGTTTAATAATATTCTGCTGGACTCCTCTGAGCATGTCTGGTGATGACGTCAGAGAAGCAGTTTAACGAAGAAAATGTAAAAAGCATAAAATTTGTCTCACAAAAGTCATAAAACATTTTTAAATATGTGTATTAGCATTCTTTAGTGAGTAAGGATAGAAATTAGTAGCAGTAGTAATAGTTTTAGTACCATAATTACAGTATTTATGGACACCCCGATGTATATCTGTTGGCGCAAGCGCAGGACGGATCATGCATCCGGGACGGATCGGGTAGTGACACTCGGTAAAGAGGGAGGGGCAAGAACAGCATCCGGGGACTTTGTCTGAGGTTTATCTGAGGTTGATAACGTTTCACAAGTACACAAGCACATGAAAACGCCGAGTACTAGAGCTGGGTACTTTTGCCAAAGTCCTGAATCGATTCGATTTTGATTAATAAAGTTCTAAATCGATTAATTTCGATTCGATCTGTATTTACAATAATGAAAGTGGTTCATGTGTTTCAAATTACTCATGTATTTTATTTTTTCCTGTCATATTAAACACAAAGTGCAAACTTGTAAATCATGTGAACAAAACTGTCTCATAAGTGCAAACTTGTTTGTGAAAAGTGAAAAAGTGAAGCCTCACTCACTCAGACATGCATGAGCTGCTTTATCTTCAATGCACAAACCATATTTGCAGCGTTGTCTTTAACAACTACAGGGTGTTTTCTGGTCAGCCCCCATTTGTGAATGTCTTCAATCAACCTATTAGGTATATTTGCAGCTGTCTGGCTTGAAGTCATCTTTAGTGCATCTTTCCTGCTCATTTGAATATGAATGTCATGTACTAATCGATCTCATTCCCTAGATATCGATTTTGCAAAAATGTAAAGTAGGGATGCACAATATAATCGGCCCCCTATCGGTATCGGCCTTAAAACTGAATATCGGACATCGGCCACCCCACTGATATTTGACCCGATATTTGATCAGCTTCTGAGTTTCTAAAGTCTAAAGAAAAAACTTCTTCTTCTTCCTCAAAAACTTTTTT